AATCAGGACCTGTTTAAAGCCTAGTTCCCGCCCTCACTCCTTCGTCGGCCGACATATAAAAATGCAAACCGTGGCGCGGGCACATTGGCCTTACCGCGGGTAGTCGCTCTTGTTATTCCTTGAGTATTTAGACACATATGGATTGCTCGTCTAGTTGGGTCACACCCCCCCCCCCCCTCCTTCTTTTGGTACACCATTATGTCTTAATTGTTAAAACATATTTTTAAAAACATTTTTATCATTTCTATATTACTTTTTAAACATCTTTTGAACACTAGTTCCATATCATACATTGTAAAGCTATTTTGCACAATTTTACTTTAGTCAAATTACTATTGAAAACATCAAAGTAAGTCTTGACACCAAATGAAATCTTAACTGCACATCATTCACAGCGCTGCTTTTCATATCAGTCACAGGTAGTTGAGATTTCTTATACAACAGAAACTGTTTCAACTTTATGTGTCAGGTTTTAATTAATTTAATTGAGTCAGTTATTTTTTTTTCATCTAGAAACAGATTTTTAATTCAATTTAAAAAAAAATTTTACAATTTCATATCAAACACACACAGACATACAGTATGTATTTGTATATGGTATTGAATACAGATAAACATGGTATGTGCTGATTATCTCAGCTATTAAAATAATATAAGGTTTGTTTTTGTGATTAAAGTGTAATAATGATAGACATGAACTTTTTATAGAACATTTTATGTACATGTCCTGAAGCTTTCACAGTGCACCGCAGCAAGTGAACCTACAGTTAGATGTCTTGTAGGAAATCAAGTGAGAAGACGACAGTATCTGTCTTGTCTCTATTTCCTCCATTTCTTCTTCTGTTTTTCTCTCTTTCTCTGCCTACATGGAGCGACTGTGTATAAGTTGTCATCATTCATGCTATTGGTCTGTTTCTATCATCGCTGTCCATCCTGCAACGACACAGAGAGGCCAACAGCTTGTCTACAGCTCCTTTCCTACTGAAAACATACAGGAACACGTCTGCAAGAGGACTGAACTTTATGAAAGTGTGAGACACATGTCTGAGGGTAATGTTATATTTAATTTTATGTAATGTGAACCAAATGATGGTGGGCAGAAACAACAGTGTGTAAATAAGCAAAACCAGAATCAAAATGGCCACAATTCGGCGTTTTTCATCAGCAGGGACACTAATGGCTGCAGACAGGGCTTTAACGGTCCCACCCAGGAAGAATATGAACAGAGGGAAGGGAAGGAGGAAGAAGACTGCAAAGATGGTTTGTGTCACTCCAAAATCCTTCCAGAAATAGAAAGAGAGGGGATAGAATAGAGAAAGGGTCCAGACCACGACACAGACCACTACAGAGGTCTTGATGGTTTGTCTGAAGCGGTACAACAGCGGCCAGGCGATGACCAGATACCTGTGATACAACATAGACACACAGATTCTTTGTAGAGCATCTGAATTATATTATATATAATACAAACACTATATAAAGTATACATACAGTGGATATAAAAAGTCTACACACCCCTGTTCAAATGCCAGGTTTTCGTGATGTAAAAAAATGACAGCAAGACAAATAATTTCACAACTTTTTCCACCTTTAATGTGACCTATAACCTGTACAATGCAATTGAAAAACAAACTGAAACCTTTAAAGGGGAAAAATATAAAATAAAAAACTTAAAAGAACGTGGTTGCATAAATATGCACACCCTTAAACTAATACTTTGTTGCAGCACCTTTGGCTTTTATTACAGCACTCAGTCTTTTTGGGTAGGAGCCTATCAGCGTGGCACATCTTGATGTGGCAATATTTGCCCACTCTTCTTTGCAAAACTGCTCCAAATCTGACAGATTGCGAGGGCATCTCCTGTGCACAGCCCTCTTCAGATCACCCCACAGATGTTCGATGGGATTCAGGTCTGGACTCTGGCTGGGCCATTCCAAAGCCTCAATCTTATTCCAGTGAAGCCATTCTTTGGTTGATTTAGATGTGTGCTTTGGGTCATTGTCGTGCTGAAAGATGAAGTTCCTCTTCATCTTCAGCTTTCTAACAGAAGGCCGAAGGTTTTGTGCCAACACTGACTGGTATTTGGAACTGTTCATAATTCCCTCCACCCTGACTAAGGCCCTAGTTCCAGCTGAGGAAAAACAGCCCCAAAGCATGATGCTGCCACCACCATACTTCACTGTAGGTATGGTGTTCTTTTGGTGATGAGCAGTGTTGTTTTTGCACCAAATATACCTTTTGGAATTACGTCCAAAAAGTTCAACCTTGGTTTCATCAGACCATAACACATTTTCCCACATGCGTTTGGGAGATTTCAGATGTCTTTTTGCAAAATTAAGCCGGGCTTTGATGTTTTTCTTTGTAAGATAAGGCTTCCGTCTTGCCACCCTACCCCATAGCCCAGACATATGAAGAAGACGGGAGATTGTTGTCACATGTACTACACAGCCAGTACTTGCCAGAAATTCCTGCAGCTCCTTCAGTGTTGCTGTCGGCCTCTTGGCAGCCTCCCTGACCAGTTTTCTTCTCGTCTTATCATCAATTTTGGAAGGACGTCCTGTTCTTGGTAATGTCACTGTTGTGCCATATTTTCTCCACTTGATGATGACGGTCTTCACTGTGTTCCATGGTATATTTAATTCCTTGGAAATTCTTTTGTAGCCTTCACCTGACTGATATCTTTGAATAATGAGATCCCTCTGATGCTTTGGAAGCTCTCTGCGGACCATGGCTTGTGCTGGAAGATGTGGCTACAAAAATGTAAGGAAAAGCCTACTAGAACAGCTAAACTTTATTTGGGGTTGATCACAGGCACTTTATTTGGTGACAGGTGTGTGCTGACTCCAATTTAACATGAGTTTGAATGTAATTGGTTAAATCTGAACACAGCCACATCCCCAGTTATAAAAGGGTGTGCACACTTATGCAACCACATTATCTCAGTTGTTTATTTTTACTTTACCTCCCTGAAAGATTTCTGTTTGTTTTTTAATTGCGTTGTACAGGTTATAAGTCACATTAAAGGTGGAAAATATTGTGAAATTATTTATCTTGATGTAATTTTTTTACATGACAAAAACCTGGCATTTGAAAAGGGTGCGTACACTTTTTATATCCACTGTATATAAAAAGGTCAGACATGTAAGTAGCTACACAAATACTGAATAAACTGATAGCTACCTTTCCATGGCGACACACATCATGAAGCCAACACTCGCCATCAGACCAAAAAGGTAAATAACATGGAAGATTATTGCGATGATCGAATCCTCAGGTTGTACCACTTCAACGATCATGCAGCAGAGTTGAATGAGGTCACAAATCAGAAGGTTGATGATGTAGATCGGAGCTACGTGATCGTTTCTGACCTGCAGGAAAACGTTGGTAGAAAAAATCATGATCTTTGCTGATGAAACGTTGTCATCTTACTCTGCTCAACATTTGCAGTCAGATGTATTTTTCATCAAACTCTTATCGGTTCCTACTTTCTTAGTCATCATGTACTCACCAGAGAACAAACTCCATGGATGGCCACTAGGGTCAATGGAAGGCCGATACAAATGATAATGTATGTCACGACATCCATGATTTTTTGTTCTGTATTAAAGTAGATGGTTGTGCTGTCATCGTAGCTTCTGTTCTGTGAGGTGATGTTAATGAAGGAATCTTCCATTCTTTACTGTGAAACCTGTTGTTTGAGAGATCAGCAAGTTTTTTAACATCTACCTCACATTGTTCAGTGATAATACTAAAGCTGTGAAGTGCTGTTCACACAAATACAGTACAACTATAGTTCAGGATAAATCTTAGTGATCCAGCATTTTAGCACAAATCTCAAGTTACTGGTATTTAAGGCAAGAGAGGGTAAAAACAGAGACTAAATACAACTGTAGATTACTGTACACCTACAGTCCAGTCCCCTTGTTATGTATCAACACCTTTACACTTTTAAGTATTAGGTTAAACATTGATTAAGAGCAGTAATGTAACACAAACTTTACCTTTGAAAGCTGGTGGACCACAATCTGGATGTGCTTCTTTCACCAGAGTCTGCTGTTTTCTCCTCTGTATCCACAGTCTAGTGATGTGAAATGCAGTAATGTAGCAAGATATGAAGCGAAGGAGGTTCATGATGATGTGATCTCTCTCTCTAAGGAAGATGTGGTTTTCTACAAAATTCATTGCTGTGTCATTCTTTCTATTAATATGCAGATGCATGACTTCTCTGTGACTGTTTCTTCCTCTTTTCTTTTCTTTTTATTGAAAATGTAAAACCAAAGCTTATTTTTTAATGGTTCCTTGAATACAACCTGTTAGTAAGATTTAAGGAGAAATGTTGTCAGAAAGGTGTGGGGGATGAGTGGGTGCTCAACCATCTGACAGAAAGTTCAGATGATAGTGATCATACTCTGCTCTGAGTGTAGTGACGCCATTAGTTAGTTTATATTAGTTCAAACTGTGAGACCTGCAAAACAATTTACTATATGTGATGTAAACAGAAAATTGACATTGAATAAAGGTAAACAAGCAGGATTTACTTTATTGAAAAATAAATTTACAACAAACCACAAAAACTTACTTTACTATAAAATAATTTACAAAATACAACAACAACAAAAATACAGTTGTGGTTAGACACTATTTATAAGCAGGAAAAAGTCAAACTTGCAGAAAACAGACCAAATAAAGATCTAAGAATGAGAGAGATGTGGTTATATTGGCAGAGTGATCATGCTGCTGATTATCTTCAAATAATATAAGGTTTGTTTTTGTGATTAAAGTGTAATAATGATATACATGAACTTTTTATAGAACATTTTATGTACATGTCTTGAAGCTTTCACAGTGCACCGCAGCAAGTGAACCTACAGTTAGATGTCTTGTAGGAAATCATGTGAGAAGACGACAGTATCTGTCTTGTCTCTATTTCCTCCATTTCTTCTTCTGTTTTTCTCTCTTTCTCTGCCTACATGGAGCGACTGTGTATAAGTTGTCATCATTCATGCTGTTGGTCTGTTTCTATCATCGCTGTCCATCCTGCAACGACACCGAGAGGCCAACAGCTTGTCTACAGCTCCTTTCCTACTGAAAACATACAGGAACACGTCTGCAAGAGGACTGAACCTTACAAACATGAAAGACACATGTGCGAGGGCATCGTTATATTCGGCTTCTTTTACAAGGAACCAAATGATGGTGGGCAGGAACAACAGTGTGTAAATAAGCAGAACCAGAATCAAAACTGCAACAATTCGTCGTTTTTCATCAGCAGGGACACTAATGGCTGCAGACAGGGCTTTAACGGTCCCACGCAGGAAGAATATGAGCAGAGGGAAGGGAAGGAGGAGGAAGACTGCAAAGATGGTTTGTGTCACCTGAGAATATTGCAAGAAATGGACAAATACAAAAAAGAAAAGAGAAAGGGTCCAGACCACGACACAGACCAGAGGTCTTGATGGTTCGTCTGAAGCGGTACCACAGCGGCCAGGTGATGACCAGATACCTGTGATACAACATAGACACACAGATTCTTTGTGGAGTGTCTGAATTATGATGCAATAAAATGGTCAGATATGTGAATAAATACTGACTGGACTGATAGCTACCTTTCCACACCATGAAGCCAACACTCGCCATCAGACCAAAAACGTAAATAATATAATCGATTCTTCTAATAATCAAATCCTTGGGTTTTGCTCCTTGACCTATCATGCAGCAGAGTTAAATAATAGAGTTGAATAATACAGCATTTTAGCACAAATGTCAAGTTACTGCTATTTAAGGCAAGAGAGGGTAAAAACAGAGACTAAATACAACTGTAGATTACTGTACACCTACAGTCCAGTCCCCTTGTTATGTATCAACACCTTTACAGTTTTACACAATCTGGATGTGCTTCTTTCACCAGAGTCTGCTGTTTTCTCCTCTGTATCCACAGTCTAGTGATGTGAAATGCAGTACTGTAACTGTAACAAATCCCAGTATTAAAACAGCATTTTACAGTATTATTGCTTGGAGGAAAGAAAACATATTTACAGTATGTTTTGCAATGCATTTTGGGAAAAGGGAGTGAGACACGTTTGACTGGACAATGCAGTTTGATTTTTTTCACCCATCTTCATCCTTCAAATGAACAGGTGAGAGCCTTTTTGTCCTGCTTGTTAGCATAGGCAAAATACATCACATTTCCAATCAGGCTGTATTGATTATCTAGTTAGTAGAATGCCATTAAACAAGACAAGTTATTTTACTTGTAATGTTAGTCTTTAAGCTACTTTAAGCTTATCTTTATGTTTGGGATTATTTCGCTAAAATGAACTGTATTCAGGGTGAATGTAAAGAGCATTGGACTCGAATTAAGTTTAAGTCATTTGAGATCAGAGTCTGAGCTGACAAACACAAGCTAACAGTGTGTACTTTCAACTAACGTTAGCTACTTCGATGTACAGCTGTACAGGTGCTAAGTGGTAGAAAATCCTTCTGTCGTGATCTGAAAACGTCGGTAACACTGTGATGGTAACTGTCTATCACCCGTTTCACTGGCAGTTTCACCGTGTGACAGAGAGAGGAGCTGGACTCTGATCCTCCAAACTACAGGGAGAGTTTCATCTTCACTTTACTTTGTGTTAGCATCTGCTAACTGCTCGTCTCCAAAGGACGCTGCTGATTTTATTTAGATAACGTTACTTTACTGTCGGGACTGAACTGACCGGGAGCTTGTTTGCTAATGTTAGCCAGCTAGCTAAACTGTCATCATGTTACTTCCACTATTATTACACTGAACAGAGCAGAAATAATGTGGCTGTTCAACACGGTTCAGCTCTGTATCATAACACCTTATAATGTATAGAGGAAAAAGAACTGGACTCATCTGTGAATGGGTAGAAGGATTTCAGTTTACCATGTACATATCATTTGCAGTGTGACAACGTCAATGCGGTTTTTTTTTTTGTCAAATTTCAAGTGAAACAGGAAGCTGTATTCATCAATTCATGATCGGCACTGATGGGCATGACCTTTGTGAGGTCACCCAGTCAGCTGACCACACTCGCTGCAGTCTTTCCTACTCACTACAACTTCAATCTTCTGTCCCAAGATAATGCTGCATGCATACTTGAATTAATTCAAAAGGTGAGATGCTTACATCCTTCAACTGGTACTGTGAGCTCACAGCAACTTTGATCATGTTGTCCTTGTTTTTGTGAAGACTCTAAAGATTATTCCTTTACCCTTAATCGAAATACTGCAAAAGACACAGAGGAAGGAGACAAGAGGAAAGGTCCAGACCACGAAAAAAGACCACTACAGATGTTCGTCTGAAAAGGTACCACAGCGGCCAGGCGATGACCAGATACCTGTAATACAACATAGACAGAGATTCTTTGTAGAGCATCTGAATTATGATGCAATAAAATGGTCAGATATGTAAATAAATACTGACTGAACTGATAGCTACCTTTCCACACCATGAAGCCAACACTAGCCATTAGACTCAAGGCAAGAGAGGGTAAAAACAGACTAAATACAACTGTAGATTACTGTACACCTACAGTCCAGTCCCCTTGTTATGTATCAACACCTTTACAGTTTTAATGTATACGGTTAAACATTGATGGATATAAGTAATACAACAAACTTTACCTTTGACAGCTGGTGGACCACAAAATGGACATGTGTCTTCTGCCAGGGTCTGTAATTTTGTGTAACAAGTGTAACCAGATATGACGTGGAAGAGGTTCCTGTTTATGCGATCTGTATTTCTAAGGAAGAGAGGCATGTTTTTCTATAGAACTCATAACTGTGCTATTCTTGGTTTAAACTATGCACGTTCTTGGTTTCTCTGTGCCCCTGTCTTCCTCTGTTATTCTTATTGACCAACATTATATATTGTAACCAAAGCTTATTTGTTAATGGTGCCAACCTGCAAGTAAGACTTAAAGAGAAATGTTGTCAGAAAGGTGTGGGGGATGAGTGGGTGCTCAACCATATGACAAACAGTTCAGAGGATAGTGATCATACTCTGCTGAGTGTAGTCACTTTTAAGTAAAGTGCGAGACCACATTAAAGCTTCAGTGCAGTATAAAACAGTAATGCAGTCCTTACAGTGTTTTACTTGTTTAACTAAAGCTGTCAAATAAATTTAGTAGAGTAAAACATACAATATTTCCTTCTGAGGTGTAGTGGAGTGGAAGTATAAAGTAGTTTAACATGGAAATACTATAGTAAAGTACAAGTACCTCAACTTACTACTTAAAAACTACTTAGCCTTCAGCACACATTTTAAAATTTTGTTCAATTACCCAAATAGGCTCAACCCAGTTCAATTTTATTTGTATAGCACCAAAATAAACAGAAAACTCCTGAGTGAAAACAAAGAGGGTGCCTCTTAAAAAGCTAATATCAAAAAAGGTAAAAGACTAACTGAACCACCACAGCCACATAAAAGACTGCTTTGATGCAATTCACTCATCAGGCACATCATTCTCACAACTCTTAATGCAGTTCTCAAAACAGTTCATGCATTTCTCATAACACTAAATCACCTGTGCAAAAGCCTCTAAAACAATCAAAACATTGTTCACCTGTCGAAACATGCAAAGTCAGTCAATCACTTAAACATTGACACCAGTGAATTAAACCTTTTCTCCAGAGATTCGCATCACATACAGTATATACTATAAATATATACTTTGTGTGTGTGTGTGAGAGAGACTGAGCTTGCTCTCTCATACATATGATTTCCATGAGTTGCCAAAGACAGATGAGAAATGCATCAAAACAATGAGGAAACGTCTCTGATTTGAGAATTGCATCAAAAGGGATTGAGAAAAACTGAAACGGGCTCGTGTAGGACCCAAATGCAGCACAACGGCAAGGGATAATTTGTAATTATCTTTATTGAGAACTTCACAGCAAGTACTATGGCAAACGAGCAGGAGGAAACGAGTCCGGAGTTCAGGGGGAGAGTCTGTGGCGGGGAGCACGGTTCAGAGAGGCAGAACCGGGACCAGGGAACAGCACCGTTCACAATGGAGCGCCAGGTACTCACAGCAGTGGTGAAGCTCAGGATGGCAGGAGAGCGGATACCAGCAGGAAGCGTGGAGGAATGCCGAGTAGATCCGGGGGACAGGTGAGCAGGGACAGGGAAACAGGCAGACAGACACCAAAGACGCTCAGGCAGAACTCGTGGTCGGGGACGAAAGGCAGAGGTGATTACCGGGGCTGAGACAGACGAGCAGGTCAGAGACAGGCAGAGTCGGCAACGGGAGATCAGTCCGGGAAAAAGTGCTGGAAAGACTTGCATGACGCGAAGAACAATCTGGCAAAGAGTGTCAAGAGGTGGGTGCTTATATCCAGGGTTGATTACTGATGTGAAGCAGGTGTGGAAAGTGGGAGAAAATTACTGGGTGCAGGTGAATGGGAAAAACAGGCAGGAGACTGGAATGGATTGTGACAAAAACTGTAACATGAAATTTCTATATTGATGTTAAAACGTTTCTCTACAACAACTAATCCTCCATTGTCTCACTGCTCATGACTGCGCACCAGTGTTTGCTAACATTAGATCATATCATCATCAATGACATGTTTTTGGTAATGAAATGACAAGCTAACATTGGAAATGAAAAGGCACGCTATCAGCTAGCAAACATTAGTTAGCTAAACTGTAACTTAAGACTAAAGTTAGACAGTAGCTAACATTAGTTAGCTAAACTGTAACGTAAGGCTAAAGTTAGCCACTAGCTTACATTAGCTAGCTAAACTATAACTTAGGGCTAAAGTTAGACACCAGCTTACATTAGTTAGCTAAACTGCAACTTAAGGCTAAAGTTAGACACCAGTTTACATTAGTTAGCTAAACTGCAACTTAAGGCTAAAGTTAGACACCAGCTAACATTAGTTAGCTAAACTGTAACTTAAGGCTAAAGTTAGACACCAGTTTACATTAGTTAGCTAAACTGTAACTTGAGGCTAAAGTTAGACACCAGCTAACATTAGTTAACTAAACTGTAACTTGAGGCTAAAGTTAGACACCAGCTAACATTAGTTAGCTAAACTGTAACTTAAGGCTAAAGTTAGACACTAGCTAACATAAGTTAGCTAAACTGCAACTTAAGGCTAAAGTTAGACACCAGTTTACATTAGTTAGCTAAACTGTAACTTGAGGCTAAAGTTAGACACCAGCTAACATTAGTTAACTAAACTGTAACTTGAGGCTAAAGTTAGACACCAGCTAACATTAGTTAGCTAAACTGTAACTTAAGGCTAAAGTTAGACACTAGCTAACATAAGTTAGCTAAACTGCAACTTAAGGCTTAAAAATTAGCGTTCATCCGTAGATACTTGACAAAATCTAATTCAGAAACGCAGAAGGTAAGAAAATAGAGTGTATTAAACAAGCTAGGTAGTTAGCTTCAGCTTTTTACATTACAGTGTTCTTAGCAACGTATGGGAGTACAGTCTTGAGGAAGTGAGATCTACTGATGGAGTGAGGCAGGTGGACGAGACCTTCAACTAACATCAGGGTAAAGAAATGGTATGGCCCACTTCAGGGGTGTCTTCTTCAAGGCATGAATATGGGAAATTTATTGTAATGTGTAATAATAACAAGGATATATAAATGTGTCGAACTGCTGTTTTTACCCCTTTTGAGGGGTCCAAGTCTTAATCAGCAGGGTCATACCCCTTCAATCCCCCCGTAATTCAAACCC